TATGTGATGCTTAATCAGCAAACCGCTTAGTCATCACTATTGTGGTTACCTTAATATATAGGTTTGGAGTTAGATTATCAAGTAATCTTTATAGACCTGCAGTGCTTTGAGACGCACACAAGACGCTGTTATAGGCCAATGCCAACGGAGGCGACCCTCACGCCGTCGCCAACGTCACGTGCGAACTTGTGGGTTGCTCTCTCTCCTCTAGTCACCTCCCTTACTAACCAGCCCCTTGTCTAGGCTGACAGGCCTGACGACAGACAAGATATTGCTACAGTTCCTTCCTATGTCAAATCTAACAGCTAGCTATTATTGATCCTATGGGGTTGTGAGGAGAGAATAAATGGATATGGAGAGTAAGTTGGCTTATCTTCTTCTCCTCTTTAAACTTGATTATCATGGTATTGAAATATGCCAGATTAATGACTGGGAATACAAGTTTAACAAACTTGGCTATGTCAAAGCTGTATAGCCTACTTTATTGACGTCAGAGGCATACTAAGGTTTGGTTGACTTTTGAGATTAAACTAGGAATCTTTTCCTAGGTTCCTGTTGCTTAATGCTAACTGCCTTTAGCCGGTGGCTTACACCTTAGCCTGTGGCTTACACCTTGAGTTGGCTCTATATGCAAGATGTAAACACACTTAGAGCTATTATAAGGCTTGCAAGCTTGCAGTTGTTAATAGTCGTAGGTTAGAGCAAGTTGGCGACAAGTTGGTATGAAGCTTTTTAAAAGTCTTGTCTTGGATGCCTATAGCCTTTAGAGGATTAAGTGGCAGGACTGGAAGTTAGTGACTGGCTTGTTAGGGTCTACAAAGGCATGCTTGAGTCTTAGTCTGCCAACTCAACTGCTGCCTTATGTCCCTAATCTAGCACCTTTGTGCGCTGACTTTGTATGCATGCTTGACTACCTCAACTTCTTCAGCATCACTAGCGCGGCGCGCATGCGTGTCTCCTTGGTGCTTACCTTGTCGGTCTTGCCCTTTAATATCTGCCTAGTCTGCTTGCTGCTGTTGCTGCTTCAAACTCTAGGCGAGCGTCGGGGTCTGGAGAAAGTCGTAGAGGCAGTCAAGCTTGGCGGATTGATCTGCTAGTTTGCATGTAGAGAAATAACGACATCATCAAGTCTAAAAACTAGGTGATAGGGCTGCACATAGAATGGCGATAGACGACAACCACTAGCGATTCATCGTTAGCGGGCTTGGCGGTCACGCCTATGAAGCGCGTCCCGATCCTGGCAAACTTTGTTGTCCGCCGCTGTCACAGGCTTAGTTGTCTTTAGAATCCTAACTGTACTAAATACTTGCTCGCCTACTATGATGCCGCCTAGGACGTGGAGCCATGCGGCGAGGCCGCCGTTGGGGGACGGAGGGAAGGCAGGGCCGGCCCGAGGATTTGACGACGGTGAATTCGCGGAACGTGCCTTTCTTAGAATGAATGCTGTCGGAACACAGGAGCCTGTAATCAATGCTCCGGTTGCTAGCGATATAGGAAGTACTCTCCCGCGCTAGGTATGTCCTTGAAACTCGCTCCGCGCAGGCGGCTATACACCCTCATGCTGGGGTTACATTGCGGGTACTTGACGGGCCGATACCGCCTGACCACGTCGACGAGGCCCTTTTTGGAGTCCTGCAAGCTAGGGATGTTGACGTTCGCTGCTGTGGCAGCGCCGGCCCGGAACAGCGCCGGTTCGACGGACTTAATGCAGACGGCGCGCTAGCTATCAGATACTATCTGTATACCGCCACATATAAACGGCATGGTTTGTGGACTTTTAAATAACCAAACAGTCAACAAGCCTGTAAAAGTTAGAGCTAGTTTCTAAATCCCTATCAACACTAATAACATTCCTTATTTCCCTTTTCTCATTTAATAACTCTTTAACTAGTCTTATTCTGCTGACACAAACACGACCCAGATCTGCTCAACTTTGATTCCCCAATCCTTGTCACTGATACCAACCCCATACCAACCCACACACCAACTTCTTCAAATACATCTAGCGCTGCTGCCTCTTTCTACCACCCACTCGACAGCTATCTTGTTGCAACACGTACCTTCACCAGTTAATCGAACTCCTCTACTAGCTCTTACCCTTGATTATTAGCCCCAGCAAGCACTTGTTTGTAGCGGCTCTTGACAAAAAGGAGGCATGGGAGCGCTTAGAGAGGACGGAGAGCTCTTCCCGCTGTTTGGCCTCGTCCCCAGAGCAGGTCATTAGAAAGTGCTTACCAGGCCAGTCGCCAAACTCGAGGGACGACCCAATCGCCGTTAGATCCCCAAGCTAGACCGCAAGAAGCCTTTCTTCTTTGTAAGCTTGGTGGCTCAAGTTAAGATGTGTGGCTGATTTTTCAAGGGCATGGGCGGGAGGATGGCAATGTGTGTGATTTGCTAGGTTTAAAGAGCAGTCTAAAGCGCAAAAATTCTCATAGATACCCTTAGTCGCCCATTGCGTCAGCCACCAGCTTCCACGCATTGGCAACCACATCCCATCGCCCCAGCATGTGCATGCTCCAGTTGGCCTGCACTGGGATGCTGCCTGCCATTGGTCCACCACTTGCCGCTCCAGTCAGGCTTTATACACTAGCTGTTGGCTAATTAGGTCTGGCATCTGTCTTAGCATGTACATCCCTAGATAAGTGGCTTGGGTAAAACTGTATGGCATTGACTAGCAAGGTTGCGTGTAAGTCAAGCATCAAACGCCCTCACTAAAGAGATGGGAAAGGTGCAGGTGCAACAGCTCTTCATGCGGACCAAGACGTTGTCGCCATTCTTTGTCTTCCACGACAAGATGGACGCCATCGTGCCAAGGCGCAACGACAACCTCTCCAACGCCAGTGCCTGTCAATGCCCTTCTCACCAAGCTCAAGGCGTCTTGGACTGCCGCGGCATCTACGTCATCGGCACCACCAACTAACCCGGCCCTCCGCCACCCGGGCCGCCTCGGCACTAGCGTCTACGTCGGCCTGCCCTCGCCTAAGAGCCACGCCTCCATCCTCAGAACAATCTACTGCCATACCATCCTAGGCTCTACCGCCCCGGGAGGCCCTGCCCAAGCGCGACATCAAACGCGTCGCCCTTGACCTGCTCTAAGGCAACTTCAGCGGCGCTGACCTAGACAGCATTGTGCAGGAGGCGGCTTCCCGCGCCTACCTGAGGAGGACTGGCGACGACCTGGTTGCCAATGTTGACAGGTCTATCACACTTAAAGACTAAGAGGCTGCGCGATGGCACACTGACTAGCATAGACAGAAATAAACTGCTTGAGTCACAAGATAATTACCCTAACCATCTTTGGCGCCGTTAGTGATAGCACAAGCACCAATCTAGTCAATAGATACTAGTTCCAAGAGAGAGAGCATTGTCGGCTGGAAAGTGTACGCCAGTAACTCGCCCAATCCAGTCGTCGATAAGGAGGGCACGACGTCGCTGTCAGGAGATCGCTCCGAGTAATTGTCTGTTTACTGAAAACATCCACATAGTAGCTGTCAATTCAGGCGCAGCGATTACAAACTCGGCGGCGGGAAAGTATGCTGACATGTTAACTCCTGACATGTCAACTTACTTGGAAGGGACAGACATAACCATCAAGTCTGCGGCATTACCAACAGCCTGCATGTCTAGTTAGTAACCTGTTTCCCAGTCCTAATACCTCGCACCGCCAGGGAGTGCGGGAGTGCGCAAGCCTCGCCTGCATGCAGTGGAATTAGCCATTTGCATCTCAGGAAGAGCTTCTTGCTTGAGTGTCTCTCGGCGTTGGCGAAGTGGTTAGTACAGCCTTAGGACATGTCCCTAGGCAAGGCAACAATGCAGTCAATCTTGTTACTTCTTGCTGTCAGTATTAGGATTGGTGATAGCCAGGTTGCGTGGATGCGCTCTGAACTAAGGTGCTTGGCCAAGTTTTGCTAGGCAGCAACTTTGTGACCTTTGACAATCCATATGAAGCGTGTGCCTTGTCACAAACGTACGGGCGCCCTGGCAGCATAAGGCCTTAGGCAGCGTTGGTGCTTGTGGATACCAACCCTAATGAACTCTGCTTGGCCCTCTGCACTGCTGTGGCAAGCCTGTCCTCTTAGCCTAGGTGGAAGATGTCTATGGTGTAGAGTAGGTTGTTGGGGTTGTAGGTTGGGCAGAATATCTTGCTGGCGTGGTTGAGGTATTTCTCGATGTGGAAGTTGGGGCAAAGCGCTGGTGGCTTGTTGGGGTCTGCTTTTATTTGGGAGAAGCGCTGCTCCTACTTGGGACTTGGGAGATAACAGGTGTTTCACGGTGGCGATCTTGCGCGAAAATGTCGGGAGACTTGGAAAGTAGAGATGTCGCGGGCTAGAAAGAGTGGAGGTGGAGCGGGATCTTTATAGCTGGAGTATCTAGTTTTTGGCTCTTAGAGGAGCGTGGGAGCTCGTTTATTCTACATATATAGTAACAGATTTTGCTTCTGTTGCGGTTATCGGTGCCTACGGTGTCGTTATCAACTTACTATGCTGCAAGGTAAGCAGGTTTCACACATAGTCTAGGATCTGGTTTTGCAATACTATTCCTTGCCAGTCTTGCCACATATGCATTGCATGTGAAGGTAAATATGCAGGCAGTTTGAAGCTTGGGAAGAAAGCGGGTCTTGCATCACCTTCTTTTCTAGATCCCTAGAAGCAGAGTCAAAGTTTGCAAAGAAGACTGCTAGCTATAGATGCAAAGAGGCAAGATGAATAAGAATGGCTTTAGAGAGAGGATAAAGCTGACCTAGAGGATAAAAAAAGAAATAGGTAACGGTGATTAGGCCAGGAAAAAGGTCAATCGTGTATCTCATTATCCAAGAAAGGTTAGAGAGTCATAGATAGACAAAAATCATAAGACTTACCGTGGAACATCGGCACCAATCATTTCATTCAGCTTCTCCTCATTTCCGTCATCCTCTTCAAATTCGTCAGCAGGAGTCTAGCCCAGGGTATTCGTCTTGCATTTCTTCTTCTTGCCAGCAGATGTAGCATCAGGCTTCTGATAGTATGGGGGAGGAGTTTCTGCCGGCCCGCCTTGGTTTCGGTTGCGCATCTTGTCGCCACCAAACCGAGGTTATTTCTTAACGTTGTTGTTATGAAATCCACCACAACGATGCCGATGACTGTGATTAGGAGGAGATGCTTTGGTTGTAGCTGACAACGTCGACGCGGTTGGCGTTTGGGCCAACCGCCAAGGCCACAGGACTTGTAAACGCGCCTCAGCTCTACCAGCCGTCGCTGAGCTTTGGGTCCCAATCGGTGCCATTGAAAGTCATATCTGACTCTCCAAGGTTCCAATACAATCATTCAGCATCGTCATAGGCTAGGATGTTGCTAGATGACTGAATCCAACAAGGTCCCTAAGCTTGTCTCTTTGCAGATTAAACTCTTAGCAGGTTGGCAGGGTGGAAATAAGATATGACAGATGGACAGACGTCATCCCCACCTTAGAAGCAGCGCTTTGCTCATATATTTGTCAAACTTATCTAGTCAGGTATTGTCCAACCTACATACCCAGGTTTAGGCCAAGTCTAATCTAACCTAGCCTTGTGTTGCCAAGCATGGAGTATGATTATATAGTGAGAGGATGGCTTTGTTGGTGCAGATGGTTGGGAGGGGTTGGGAGGCAAGGGGGAGGACGTATTATCAGTATGATGCGACTGGGAAGCTGGTGCGGAATCTGATGGAGCGGTGTGATGGTGGTGGTAAGCAGCTGCAGGACTTAGCCATTGTCAAGGAGACTGTGTATATCGGCGGGGCGTTTGAGGTATTCGGCGGTACAGCGGCTCCGGAGATGTCTCGCTGAAAGTCCACAGCCTCAGCATTGCAGAGTCGGGCCGTCGACTGCTCCTAATCGAGAACCGCACCGTCGGCGGAGAACTGAACAGCACGCAGCGCGGCAGCAATGCCGGTGTCGGGTCTGGCGCAGTTCCAGCCGGTGGCAGCGGCGTATCCAGATTCAGTTGCGCTGTTGCAGCCTACCTAGGGGGCTGATTAAAAATACGCCGTGTTCTGGTACCCGCCTCCCGCCTGGCGGGTCCCGGTCCTGCGGGGCGTGGGCCGCGGGTCCGCCCGGGCCGGTTCGTCGCCCTCGTCGGGGACTTGGGCTTGAGTGCTTCTACAAGCGGACGCGCGGCAGATATTCACCGCTCGCGGCGCAGCCCTCAGAGCTGGACTGCATCAGCGCCGCCACGTTAGTCGCAAGCGTCGTTGACAACCTGTCCCAATCGTCGCACTTAAAAAGATTATCCTCGGAAACCGTGTCATTCTCTGGAGTGGAAGGGCTTAATCCTGTCTGCTCTGACCTAGGTTCAGGCGTTGGGGATGGTGGACTGGTAAAGCGTGGCTCTGGTCGTCACCTTGGCATTCAAGGAATCCTTCATCAACACCAAGCACGTCGCAAGCTGTGACTACCCCTGTCAAGTTGCGGCCGATAGGTCGTGGCGCATCATCGGCGGTGCGCAGAACGTCCCAATCATGTTTCCTTCAAGCACTCAAGTCGTTATCCAGAGTTTCGCTTCCATGCTGGCAGCCACACAGTTGTCCAGGCAGAATTTGGATTATTGCTTCTAGTAAGAACCTTCTGCAATGGCAAACCCTCGTTTCCCCACAATCCGTCGGCGCTAAGGACCTGTTCATCCAAAAACAGCGAGGCAAATCCGTTGCCGTAAGACTTGAGGCTCGAGCAGCCCTGGGCGCGAATCTTGCCAGGGACAATAGCCGGCTTGCAGCATTTCTGACATGCAAATCGATCGTCAAATGTAGGCATCCCCCAGAAACCTCAAGATGGACTTCACAGCTCTGATCTCGACCCCCTGGTTCTTGCAGTCTCGTACGATGATAAGCGCCATAGACGTTAAGTATAGCCTTGACGAGATGGCCAAGGCGGCCACACCGGCGCAGTTCTGGGATGCTGTTTGGGCACGACTGACTTCCCGCCTCGCCGAGTATACCAAGTATTGGAAGAATGGCTATTACATCCTTGTCAGATGTGCTGGCAGATTCCTCTGTCACAAAATAGTGGACAAAAACCACGACTTTACCATTTCTAGTGGCGCCTGAGGCTTAGGCTTGTATACAAAGCGCAGCTCGACGCTATCGATGCCGATACAGGCGACTTGGTGACGGTGCTGGGCGGGGCGCGGGCTGTGTTGTTGGGCGTCTGGGGCGCCACGACGAGTATCTTAGGCGCTGTAGAGAGGGGAGGGCTGGCGGCTCTAAGGCTGTGCGCGGCGAGCGTGTCTGGCAAGAGGGGGATGCGGATCACGACTGTGTCAGACGATGGGTTGGATGTGTTGGCGAGGCTGTGGAGCGTCGGGAGGATGGCGCAGTCGAAGGTGCGGGTTTTTGGCGTCTTGGCCAATCGGCTTTCCTCCTCTGTAACCCTAAGCCCTTACAAACTGGTAGGTTCCCTGAAGATCCCTGAGGAACCATTTGCTGGCTATCCTTTGTTGCTAGCAGCATGGCTATTTTTAGAAGTTTGCATGCCTGGCTCTGCCTTGCTGTCGAGCTTGCCCTCCCTCTGCTTGAGGTACCACCGCGCCAGGGTCTTGGCCTTGACCCCCAGCGTGCTGGCGGCGGCGGCGGCGGGCGGGATCACCTGCCGCCCAACGTCCTGGATATATTTTATGATGGGCTGTGGGCGTTGACCCTGGAACCAAGATGTAAGGCAGCGAGTATTTGCTAAAGGCCTGCGATCTTGTCAACCGACTTGCCATGGCAGATAAGGAAGAGATGCATTGGGAGGGAATTCAAGGAGATTGGCTGCTGCATGGGAAGACTGTAGGCTGCAGGTGATGTGTGCAATAGTATTTTGGCAGAAGAGGCGGTACCATTGCTGATACCTTTGCTGGTACCGTTGCTAGTACTGCTGCTGGTGCCTGCCGGTATTAGCTCTGGCAAGCAAATGCAATCCAAACTAGATTCCTGGCATGGCAATCTTACAGCAGCTAGTTAAATTTTGCCACGTTATTAATTACCCCTACTATCGCGACCCTACCACCCATCTCACTCCCAACCTCCGTCTCTCCCGACAGAGAGACCTTGGCTTGTGGCTTATAGACCCAAGGATTCCCGTATCAGTCTTGATGATGACCTTAGGTTGAGCCGCCACACCTTGGTTATGGAAATCTAGGTAGTGTCGATAGGGGAGGCCTCACAAAAGCCATTCTCCAAAGTTTTACACGCTGTCCCTGCGTGATGCCATGGCAGGCAAGTCTTGCTTCTCGCGTGGAAAACATTTCCGAGGAATTGCATCTCTCTCAAGCAGTCTCAGCCGGCATTCGAGTTGGCGATAATTAGTTAAGCAATCCAGGTCCGGCTTGACACTTGTCGGGCTTGTTGGTATCGTTGATCCTCCCTATCCCAAGATACCTAAGGTAGTCTGTATCTTGAAAGGTGCTAGCACTCGAATCTCCATGGTAAGCTATGCACGGAACCCTTTGGCAGCACAAGGTATACGTAACTAGAGATTTTGCTCTCACTGCGCAGGCCATCGCGTGTGGCATTATTACCCAGCTGCCAAGTGATGTTGACACGACCGCAGCTCTCTCCACAGACCCTAGCAAAGAGCTTATCCAGATGGGCAACCTCACTGGAGAAGACATGTTCGATCTATCGTGCTCAGCAGGCCCAAGCTGATGACGCTTACTGACGCCTAGTGGGACCAACTAGTCCGCTACAAGGAGATTGTCTTCGCTTAAACAACGCTGGAACATAAATTCCGCATTGTGCAAGAATTGCAAGTTCTCAAGCAGGTTGTCAGCATGACAGGAGACAGCGTTAACAATGGACCACGTCTTCAAGCCGCAAATATCGGCATCGCCATCAGGTCTAGCAGTGACATCGCCATCAAAGCCACAAACATGGTGCTTCTAGATTCATTCTCGAGTATCGGGAAGGCATTACAATTGAACGTATGATGTTCGACAACTTCAAGAAGACAGTCGCATATCTAGCTACTGGCTAGCAGCTTGGCAATTTTTGACCGGTTCTGGCAAAGGTGGTGTTTAGGATACTGCAAATTTTAACCGGTTATATGATAATTGTCACCTCATGAGCTTCTCTTGGCACGTATGGCTTTTGTATTAGGCTAATTTTGACAAGTTTGTTCACTGATGCGATAGGTGCCATAGCCCTAAAGCGGATGTTCTTCGTCGCAAGCCTTGCGTGAAGAGGAAAGGTTTGTAAACTAGGGACTCATCTTGCAGGCATACGGCTTCATTGGCATACTCGAAACAACTTTCTCGTGTGGTATGCCATTCTAGTACCTGCAGGCTACTATGACGAAGATTCAATCCAATTTATCTTCAATGCCACACCCGTCGCCTACGTCAGCTTCGTGCCTAACCTGTCAAACCCAGTGCCCAACCCCATGCCAGTGATCATGCCCATAGTCGCCTGCATTGGCAAATTTAGGGACAATGATGCCCTATGCTGCTACATGCATGGCTATGTCTTAGCGTGCATTTTAAGGGTGCCAGACCACTGCAGCGGCGGATGGGGGGGCGAGGGTGTGCTAGTCTACATCGCTGCGACGTAGGTGGTCAACTTTGTCCTGCTGCTGACTTCTTTAGACTACAGCTACAACTACTGCTTGGCGGTGCTCCACAGGCATGCTGAGCTGCGAGACCCTGTGGCTGACCAGGACAAGAGCCTGTGGGTCATGGAGCTTATCATTAACGGCATCGTGTTGCGGCGGTGGGAGAACATGCGCATCCTGCTTGACAACACTGAGATTGCGTCCATAATGCAAAGGGATCTATTTTACTGACGTCTAGTTCTCTTTTAGCAAACTGCTAAATACCATTGACTGGGAGAATGGCTTACGGATTTGACTAAGCCTCTGTAGTGTATTTAGCAATTATAAAAGCCCTTCCACAGAAATAGTCTACCTCTCGGAATCGACCCACGCCTATAACCCATCATGGACTGTATCAGCTCTTTTGCCCCAAGCCAGCCGACCACTTCTAGGCGTGATTATCCCCCGCTTTGCCTCAGCCACCTAGACAAGACCCATACCCCTGTAAAGATCAACCCCCCACTCCTTTCTCACATACAAACCCTTTCACTGTCAAGTTATTATTGCCACACCGCGTTTATAACTATACTTGCACTCAGACTTCTACATCAGCCTACGCGTGGTCGACAGCATGACAGTTGTCTGGCGGCTGCGTTCTAGCTAAGGTCATACACTTGTCGTCAAGGTTGAGACCTGCCAGTCCTAGCTTTGTGGATCGGCGCCACAGCTGCGCCAATCCAAGAGACGATAGGCCTAGAGATTGCACCGTCACAACACAAGCATTGGGATTCATCGTCAACACAAGGCTGTTAATTACTTTCGAAAAGCCTTCTTAGGACCAGCCAGATGCAGCAAAAGTTCGACAACCGATTACAACCCAGAACGCCAAGCTTGACAGGCAACCCCTGCGGTCCAGTACGGCGCCGAAAGTGGCTGGGTTTACGCAGCCTCACATCCGGCCTGCGCCCAGGCATCCTGCACATTGCCGACGCTATACACGGCAAACAGGTTAATTTCATCGTCTTGAGAGATGGCAGCAATTAAAGCGGAACGCTGTGATACCATTGTCGTTGGTAAGATCCTGCCGCCGCACTTCCTTGATAATCGTGGCCTAAGCGAGGTCGGACACCGCGAGAGGCCCAAGGAGGGGGGGGGGGGGGTGGGTTGTAGTAAGTAAGCTGCCCTTGTCTGGAAACAGTCGCAAGCGTCAGGACAGCGTCTTAAAAGGCTAGCCTCTTGTCAAGCCATCTCTTTTTAGTCAGTGTTCTCCAGTGGGCGTTTTTGCTTTTTCTAAATTCTAATTTTTTTTAGAATTTAGAATTTCTTTAGTCAGCGGCTACCCCAGAGCCTCTTTATTCTCTCTTACCTGTCGATTATTCCTAGACCTTTGGAGCAGAGACGGGAAGCATAGGCTTCTTGTCCAGAGCAGATTCTTCATGTTCTTGTTGCATGCGAGTCTATCTAGCAGCGCAATGTCTCCATCTCTATAGCTTACACTGTGGAAGGGGGTGTTAGGTCTGGAGATCCCCTTTCGCTTCGAATACTAGGCGCTGCACGGTTACTTTGATCGCCACTTGCAGAGCTAGCCACAGATTTTTATAGTGATGCAAGGCTATCCAGATATTGAGTGCAATGTCCACCTAAGGCGGGTAGGTCTTCTGTCTATGAACTTGCAATCTTCCTCTACAAGCTGTCTCTTGTCTCTCTTTAGCAATGCGGTGGTCTTTTCGAGAGGGAATACAAGCCACTTAAGCCTATCGTCTAGATGCTAGCGCTTTGGATCTAGTCTGCAGCAGACAGCGACTGGCACTTGCCTTGCCCTTACTTGGTCATCTTCATGACCAATGCAGGTGGCATGCCTAAGCTGGAGGACTATTTTGCCCCCGGAATTCTACACAATTTCAACCCTAAAAGGACACTCATTTTCCGTCCAGCAAGGTAGGCCTGGAATAATTGCTTCAGCAATTTTGCCACTGTTGTCCACCAGGTCGCTGCACTCCCCCTGCGGCAGATTCTCGACAGACGTGTAGCGAGAGAAGCTTGACTGTGGCTACAGTCTCTCATCAGCGTATTAACAATACCGTCAATACTGCCAGTACTGTCAATACTGTTAATACTGACAGTACTATACTATTAACAGTATTGTCGATACTGATAATGCAGCTGATAATTTTCTCTTCCTTCTACGCAATTCGAAGAACAGCAGTTAAAGCAGATCCCTTTGCTAGACCTGCGCTGTAAGCGCAAACTCCATACCGAAATCCAGCGACTAATGTTTGACATCTTCATAAAAAGTGTAATAGAGGTGAGCCTTGCCCAGAGACATCCCCAAGCTATTGATCCGACAGAAGAGAGGCTTCTTCAGTTACTCATCCTTCCACCGAAGGGGAGTGAGTACACTGCACCAGAAGTTGGTTCTTGACCGCAGACACAAACACACATTCTGCGCTTGTCAAGTGCAGCAAAGCAAACGCATTGTTATCAAGGTCAAGTCTTGCGAAGTTAGTGACAGGACAGAAGGTTAATGCCTTGCTAGCTAGCAAGAAGTGAATAGTCTTTCCATGTCAGTTAGGTGGATATAAGACAAGCATTGGCAGAGAACACTTATAGCCTTAGCTTCCAATTCTCACCCTTTTGGTAAATAAGCTTCAAGACTAATACGAGGACGTCTTTGCCAGTCTTGGAGTCACAGACGACTATTAGAAGCATGTTCTTGTAGTAAAGTGCTTTGAGACGTCTGCGCTTTAAGCTCAATATCAAAACCATCTAGGTTAATACACGCAACTCTTGGTTTACTACTTTGTTATATTCGTTGTTAAAACCGTTAGGTTAGTAGAGACACCTAAAGCTGCTACCCTAAAGATCTCCAACACCTCTTTCAGCTGCTTCTCTCAAAGTATAGTTATTCAAAGTATAGTTGTTTAGAGTATGGTTGTTTAAAGTATCGTTAATCTAAAGTATTATAAGATATTGTTAATCTAAAGTATTAAATCTAAAGTTTTATATCTAAAGTTTAAAGCTTAAAGTTTTATTAATTTGAAGGGTTGTAAATTTAAAGTTCTGTTAATTTAAAGTATATCTTTAAGTATATAATATTATATATATTGGTAGTTAAATTTTAGTAACTTTAAACTTTTAATTTCTAATGAAATATAGTATGTTAATTAACTGAAGAAAAAACCTCAAGTAACGAAAGTTAAAAGTTAAGTTTAAACAAATATATTATAATAAACTTTAAAATTAACTCTTTAAAATTATTAAAGTTTAACGAATAGCAAGTAATAAGTTAAAGTTTTTTATTATTATTATTGCATAAGCTATATCTATAGTATATTATATAGGTTTAAAGAAGAAAATAAGTATTAGTAAAACTATTTATAAAAGCTAAAGTTTAACTTATATTATGTATATTTATTTGCAAACTAAAAACAAAAGGCAAGCAATTTAAAGTTTAAAAGGTTTAGCAAATACAAGTAAAGTTTAGTATAATTAACACTTTTAGTTTATTATATATAAATTTTACTTTATTAACTATATATGATAATATAGTTAAGATATAACCTGCTATACTACTTTGCTAGTTATATATATAAAATTAAATTAAAGTATATGATTTTCAGCTACTATTTATAAACTATTTAAGTAGAAAAGTAGTTATATATTCTCTTTCTTACTTTAATAGCTAGGTAAGTAAGAAGATAATAACTAAATATTTTAACAGCATAGCAATCTTATATTAATAAAAGGTTGTTTTTTCTAAACATAGAGGGAAGTTGTGTTACGCTTTGAAAGCCTGGGCTAGTAGAATCCTAGGCACCTCACGCTTGTAGGCTGGGAAAGTCTAGTGGCTAAGGTGGTGGCAATTAGTCCCGACGGGATCCCCGGGGGGGCCGCCTAGGAACTGCCGGGCAGTCCTGAGTTAAGTCGCAATGGTCCTATCTAAAGGTTTACGAGGGTAGGCTGCAATAAACGTTTTGACTGCGATGCTTCTTAAAACAATTTCGTGCCCGGTTTCTTAGTGATTCTGTCTTGATAAGACTCTTAGTCAGAACCCGTGCCAATTAGCCACCTCGTATACGTTAGTCAGACTGATCAACGCCGTGCCTTTGGCCCGCTGCCAACCTGGGTCTTACGGCCTGTTACAAGTTGCATGCAGCTGCGTTTTAAGAAGTGCACCTTCCATGCCGCAGCCTTAAGCCGCATCTCCCCTTTTCAGCAGATACGCACTTGACCTCTTACACAGGCATTTGATGCCATAACCTTTCCCAGTCCTAGCTACCTAGGACTCCAACTGATTGCTCAAAACGCAGCTAAATTAGCATTAAACCAGATGAAAAGCTTCTATGTCAGTGCCTGACAGAGGTTATGTGGTTGTGACTGGTTAGAACCTACATCTGCTATCAAAGAGAAATGAGACATTTCAAAACAGTGTCTCAGCGCAACTGTTGAAGAAACCCGCCCCTCCACCAAAAAACCCCAACCCCCTAGCCCTCTATCAGCATTCGCTAGAGGATGTCTTCATCATCCGGAGTGGTTAAGCTATTGTCCTTGTACCTAGTCCATGATTATATATATCTCAGCATCCTGTCTTCCGTCGATATTTTTTCTTCACTTCTCCTCTCCCACTTCCACGCCTTGTCCATTACACCCTATGTCTTTTCAAGACAACCTCCACAAACTAGCTCCCTTTCTATGTACAGGGACCCCCATGTCCCATTCACTAGCTGCCAACCCCTAGCTAAAACTTGCACCGACCATAGCCATGCAGTTGTATTCACTCTCCAACGGGGGTCGAGTGCGTCCCTCCCACATAGCAGATCTGGTGTGCCGGCCACTGTTCTGCGAGGGAGGGCTCCGTGCGCCCCGGTGGGAGTTGATTACTTGCTATTGTGGTCAATGGCAGTTTAGCAGGCGTTCCAGCACGGGACATTGGGGTTTGTCGCTCTGGTCGAGCCTAATCCTGTCGCTCATGTCGAGCACAATCCTGTCGCTTGGATTGAGAAACTTTGCTCCAGTCAAGCCCACGCCGGCAGTACTTCAGCAATACTCCCCACTCAGGTCAAGCGCTACAAACCCACCAGTCAGATACCACTGGTCTTGTTCATGGCAAACCATTTGCCGACCGAATGCATGCCACCCTCTGGTATGTTGCCATTCTCCCAGCCATTCTCCCAGCCATTACTAACAGAGTTTGTCAAGCACCTATTCTCAGAACCCACACTTGAGCCATTCTTCACACAGTGGGAGGCTCA